CAGGTGACATTACGAAGGAAGTAGCAGACGACATCCTCGTGGCAATACAGAGGAAGATGATCAGCGAGGCCTGGAGTAGCCAGGACCCTGATGCGTCGGGCCCAGTTTTTAGGAGCAAACCAGTTTATACGGAGGGTGTCCTGACACTGTGGTACGACGATCAGAAGGCTCTGGACTGGTTGAAGGGGAATATTGCTACCCTCGACCTTAAATCCAACACCTTGCTGACAATAAAGAAACAGTCAGAGATACCACAAAGAGTCAAATGTGGTATCCTTATCCCTGATGTCCAAGGAGCCTGGAAAGACTCACGCGACATTGGTCGCGTGCTGGCGTACCAGAACCGCTGGGTTAACATCAGGGACTGGCTGACACTCAAGGCTGATAAGCAGACGGACGGGTGGTTCCTCGTTGTTTCGGTGCCGGAGGATCATATCTCGACCCTGATGAAGGCCGGACGCCGTGTCGCATGTATATGCGGGGCGGTATACGTAAAATTCCAGGATCGTGGAGGTAAATTCTTTGACACTCCACCGAGCAAAGAGGTAGAAAACAACCCGGAAGTTATGGATACCGGAGCCATGGTTACCGGTACAGCGGAATCACTGGATGCCAAGTCCAGTGAAAAAACGGCCTGCACAATTGAGCCGAAGCCCCCAGTGGAGATCGGGTTCAGCGGCAGCTCACTGAGTGACGAAGAGGACTGCATTTTGCCGACCACTTCCGACTCGGTGGCTGACGATGAGACCCGAGATCTTCTGGCAGGCCTATTTTTGGGTGGGGACGGGGAGGACGCGATCAATGATGGCGTGCCCTTCGTCCAAAACTAGCCTAGTGCAGGCCAACCTCCACCACAGTGAAACTGCGTCGGCTCAATTACGCAAGTGGTTGGAGGTTCAAAGGACTGCCATAGCCTTAATCCAGGAGCCGTGGGTTGGGGCTGGTAAAAGTAAAGGCCTAAACAACTTAAAAGGTATTTACACTACTAAAGATATCTGTGCACAACCATTAACAGATTTCTGTTCTAGAGACATTTATGCCGTGGCAATACAATACACACAGGAGAGAAGATTAGTCGTCGCCTCGGTCTACATGCCGGAGGAAAACACTCCTCCCCCTCATGACCTCGGCAGGCTGGTGAACTTCTGCGAGAGGACCGGACTAGAGGTTGTGATCGGGACGGACTCCAACGCACATAATCCCCTTTGGGGAATGGAAAAACCAAATGAACGAGGTAAGGTTTTAGTTGAATATTTATTTAGTACTAACCTAACCAACATAGGTTCTGAACCTACTTTCATAAACAAACGCTGTCGCACTATAATCAACCTCACACTTGCAACAGAAGGAGCAGCCAAACTAATTACGGGATGGCATATGTCGAAAGGGGCCTCATGCTCAGACCATAGATGGATCTGCGTCGCACTACAGGTCGATATCCCCTCTACACCGCCATGGAGAAATCCCCGCAAGACGAATAAAACAAAATACCTAAATAGGCTGACGTCTTCGCTCGCGGGTTTTGAGGGGATAAATACTATAGCAGATCAGTCGCTCCTAGAAGAACAGGTAGCAGCTGTTACTAAGGCCATGATAGATAGCTACCATGAATCATGTCCAGAAATCACTCCAACAAGGCATGCAGAGGTAAAGCAACCGTGGTGGGGTAAAGAACTCGATAGGAAACGTAAGAAGGTAAGAAAAGCCCTAAATAGGGCCATGAATACCTCAATGGATGAAGACTGGCCACTATATAAGAATGCTAAGTCTGAATACAAAAAATGTATCAGGTATCGACGCTCGACTGGGTGGCGTAAATTCTGTGGTAACATAGAAACCTGCGAACAAGCAAATAGGATAAGGAATATTCTAGCTAAACAGAACACGTCGAGATCCATGTCTCTAAAGAAACCCGACGGTAGCTACTCAACATCGCCGGATGAACCCCAACGCATCTTAATTGAAACTCACTTCCCAGGTTACTGCGTAACCCAGGAGGCAAACCGGCATGACGACAAACTGACACCAACAGCAAAAGACTGGAAATTAGCACAGAGAGTGGTAACGATGGACAAAATCCACTGGGCCATTCACAGTTTCCTCCCCTATAAGGCGGCAGGACCTGACGGCATATTCCCGGCTCTCCTACAGTGGGGGGGAAAGCCCTAATAGTCAGACTTGTAGCCATAATGAGAGCCTGTCTGGCTCTTAAATATGTTCCTAGGGGATGGAGGGAAGTGAAAGTCACATTCATACCCAAACCAGGTAAGAGCGACTACACTGACCCTAAATCCTACAGGCCCATTAGCCTCACATCCTTTCTTCTAAAGACGATGGAGAGGATGTGTGAAAGGAAATTAAGGGGGTCGGCGCTAATGAACTTACCACTACACGACAAGCAACATGCTTACTGCTTAAGTAAATCGACAGAATCTGAACTACACCAGTAATAACAAAGATTGAAGAGGCCATCCAAAACAAAGAAATATGTCTAGGTTCCTTCATAGATATAAAAGATGCTTTTGACAGAACGAACTTCTCCAGAATAAAAGGTGCACTCAGTAGACATAAAGTTGAACCGGCACTGATCGACTGGATAGTTTACATGCTCAGTACACGAAGAATAAAGATTGCTGGTGAATCTCAACCAATCCAAATTAAGAAAGGCTGCCCGCAGGGTGGGGTTCTCTCACCTCTCCTGTGGAATATGGTCATTAATGAACTCATCAGCAAATTAAATGCCAATCACTTCTATACAGTAGGTTATGCTGATGACCTGACAATACTCGTCTCTGGAAAGACAGCAAGCATAGTGTGCGACCTGACCCAAGCGGCTCTCCGTATAGTGGAGAGATGGTGCAGGGAATATTATACAGGACTTAACCGTCAATCCAAATAAAACGGTTTCAGTAATGTTCACACAAAAACGAATGCTGAATAACTATCATCTTCCAAGTCTTTTCAACACATAGAAAACATAATCAACAAAGCTAGCATAACTTTCTGGCAATGCAGAAACATGATTGGCAAAAGATGGGGACTGACGCCAAAAATCATACTGTAGCTTTACAAAACTGTAATTTGGCCCATGATCACATACGGCGCTCTGGTATGGTGGACCAAGACAATGAAGCCACCACAATTAAGAAGCTTCATTGCTACCAGAGACTGGCATGTATGGCTGCCACAGGCTGCATAAGAACTATGCCAACAGCAGCCTTAGAAGAGATGCTGGAGCTAACTCCGCTTCATCTACATATACAACAAGAAACGACTTTAGCTGCCATCAGACTCAAGACCCTATCTTTGGAGTAAGAATAATGTCCCTCATACACGCATAATTGATAGAATTCACTCAAAAATTCCTAACCTACAAGACAAATACTATAAGATTCCTAAACAATTTGTTTTCGATAAGAAATACAAGATACAATTAAATGAAAACAGCCAGCCGGAAGGATTAAGCCCAAAAGAGCTTAGAGTTTTCAGCTTAGAGTTTGGCTCTGGCCACTATAGGGCTGGAACCAATCATATCAATCCCCTTTGGTAACGTTCGTTCACTGGTATGTAGACACTTCACTAATCAACACACTCAGCTTTGGAAAAATCTAGTTGACTGTGGATAAGCTAAGGAGGCCCTGCCTGATATAAACAGTCGCTTAATCAGAGTTTTAATGAGACTGAACAAGCCGCAGATCAGGATAGTAACAAGTGCTATCATAGGACACAGCACCTTTAAGAAACATTTATTTACTATAGGTGTTACAGATAGTCCCTTGTGCAGGGCATGTATGGGGGAGGAAGAAACGGCGGCCCACATTCTACTGAAATGTCCGGAGGTCGCTATGTACAGGGCTAAACATCTCGGCACGCCGGGATCACTCCCAGAAGTTGCATGCAACATCAAGGGACTGTTGAGCTTCTTCAGGGAGATCTTATGGCTCGAATAATCACATTATTCCTGCCCACACGCATAATACGCGCATAGACGTGGAGTTGCAGAAAACAGCCCGTCGTAAACTAAACTAAGCTTGACCCTTGAAACTCAAATATACATAAAATACCTCTTGTAATTTTTTTAGAGTTATGTTATAATATACCCTTTACCTTCTGTTTCTTAGAAATACAAAAATTAATTAATAAAATTTTAACTTACACCTTAGCAGAATTATTACTCAAGAGTAGTATCTCGGCAGTCTTGACTTATGGGCTGTTGTATCAACTCCTTGTATAATAACCTGTCACCAAACCTGCAATATATTTAAGAAAATCATAAGATTTTGTCTATTGCACAAAAACGGCAAACATCCCACAAACTCAACAAGAAGCATACAATGCAAAACAATCTTTGAATATGTTTTTTATTAAGGCTTTTGCCTTATTGCTCAAGTAAACATCACTGACCTAACTAACACACTCACCACATTGAAGCCTTCTTCATTTTCGGTAGATGATGCAAGCAGCAGGCATGTCTTGCACTTCACTCACACAGATAACATGGATCTGTTCATCCTTTTTGACAATATGGCCTTCACTCACTGACAAAAAATTACTTCCATACCCAATTTTTCTACATTAATTCAATAAAAGTTACTGCTTTCGAACAAAAAGAAGATTAAAGTATAAAATATTATTAAACAAATGCATTTCTCTCAACACTTACTATCATTCAAGATGTCAAAAGAGAGTTTCCCTCCCAAACTTCACAAAATAAAAACATCCATCTCATTTTGCATACACCTTTATTTAACGCAGTTCCCTCACCACACCACATCACAACATAACACACATTATATTTCATCAACTTACATTATTGTTTACTACAACAAGTTCAATATTTATACATTCATAAAGTATGCAGTTATGCTATGTGATAAAACTATCACTTGACATTTCTATTAAGGACACTAGTTTAAAATATGTATTTTAAATTAACAACACTAAGACTTATATTACACCACCATACAAACATCTCTGGTATGCCTTACAGATGTCTCACCTCATGTTTGGGGTTTATTGCTGTTATTCCATCCACTGCTGCTTCCAGCTGGTCCAGATCCACCTCCACCATTACCACCCCAACCGCCTTGCCCATTTGACCAGTTTCCTTGGTTCCAATTGCCTTTACCATTATTCCAACCTTGACCCCCTTGACCTTGATTCCATGATGGAGGTGGACCGTTTTGACCCCAATTTTGATTGCCATTCCAATTTTTGCCTGAATTGCCTTGTGGAGGTCCACCTTGCCAGTTGTTAGGTCCAGAACTTCCAGGACCGCCTAAAAACCCACCCCATCCAGCTTGATTAAGGGCGGCAGCAACAAGACTTATTGGTAAATTAAAATTAGCTGGTGGCCCTCCACCATTTGGATTAATCCCCAAATTTTGCATGTTTAGAGTATCAATATTACTATTACCTCCATTGCTAGAGCCCCCTGAAGGACCTGATCTATTTCCATCCCAGTTTGGTCCATAAGAGTCATCTTTCCAATTTTGATTAGACTTGCTTTTGATTTTAGGTGCTGCACTTGAAACTGATACTGAAGCACCTTTGATTACATGATCTTCACCACACAGACTTTGTGCCACTTCTGGATCTAGAAATGTAACAAAACCAAATGCCCTAAATGGTCGGGGTACAAAAACATCTGTAACTTCTCCAAATTTAGAAAAGTATTCTCGAAGATCATCTGCAGTCATGTCCTCTGTACACCTTCCCACAAATACTTTACATGGCATTTGTGGCACAACACCCTCCTTAGAGTTAGGAATGCGCACATCAACCCATCGACCATCAATATTATGTCTCTGGGCTAGAGCTCTCATTTGTGATGCATATGTGGCAAAGCGTATAAAACCAAAGCCTTTGAAGGAACCATTTTTATCTTTTTTCAGTTGAACCATAACTACTTCTCCAAATTGTTCAAAGTATTGTTTTATAGATTCTTCTGTAGATTTCCATGGTAAGCCAAGGCAAATTAAATCAGAGCAAGTAAGTTTTTTCTCCAGTCGTTTAGTTTTCGCTGCTGAATTTTCAGGTGACACATCTTCCATTTTTCGTTTATTTTCTTTTGGAAATACACACAGATACAAATTTTTGCCCCATCCGGCTTCGCTTGGCGGGTGCAATTTGCCATCACTGAGTCTTATACCTCTGATTGATTTAGTTTCAGGATGACGATATTTCAGTCCACATGCTCCAGGAAATTGGGCTACCAGCGTAGAAAGCAGAAGTGTGCCATCATGTTCACAAGGGATTTCAACGGCATTTGTATCATCATCATCTTCACTTACTTTTATATAATCAAAAATATCTTCATTGTAATTCGCATTCCGGTTATTCATTTTGATAGAAAGGAATTAGAATTCAAATAAGTAGTTGTAAGCTTAGTATAATTTCAATTATAATAGCTCTTAAAATGTCTAGACGTCCACAAAATGGCTACCACTTAAGGGATGTTCATTGATTTAAGGTTTAAGCGTGGAATATCGATATTAAGATCTCTAAAACAACGATACATCGATTATGAAAAAAAAACTATCAAAAATCAAAAATCTAAGTTTTCACATGTTTAGGGGTAAAAATCTTAATTATGATTCTGCAAGCCTTCTGGAATAAAATTTATTTTACGGAAAACTAAGATTTCCAGACTACTTCTGCGTTTAATAGTTGCTTTTAAAACGAACAGATTGCAGAAGAAACTCTTCTCGAAAATATTCTACGAAAATATTATTTCTTTAAAATATAAATTTAAAAAAATGTTCCAAAATTTTAATAAAACTTACTATTTAATTTATTTTGTATATTTTGAGTTGAGGGAAATTAATTTTCTTTCAATAAATAAATAATCATCACAATTTTATAATATTTTTGTCTTTAAAGTTTGTAAAGTTCTAATTTCACCTATAGATATTGTTCGTGCTCAACGCTGTCAAGAATCGACGCCAGATGTCACTCGGCTCGGCGCGATACCGGTTTGACTTTCGGTCGTGCGAAAAACGCCCAAGGGCAGTCAGTCGTCTGTCAGGTGTGCTAACAATTGGCACGCTGCCAATTAAGCGCGGGAACTCGGAATAATTAAGCGCGGACAGTAAAAATACGGTCTAGGAATTTTGTGGCGCGTATCCCTACTGGAGAGCTTCCCCGGGACTTATTGGGTCCGACTCAGAATCTGTATAAGTGCATTCGACAATATTAGCTAGTGCGGCCTCTGTATTCTAGAACTAACTGTTGCAACGCGAAACGGTAGTGACCTTTGACCCAGAAAATCCGTGCGCGTTTTGGGCGGTAACCTTATAACCAGCGATAGTTAGTGGCTTCTGTAAGTTAGTTAATCGTACGATAGAGTTAATTAACTGTCAACGTGACGAAAGAAGAAAGTGACGGTGGACAACCTCGGAAGCCCCCTCAAGTTGGAGCGGTGTCGACGCTCGGGCTGCTGCCGACGGCCAAGGTCTAGGTTCAATCACCATCAGTCACACCCAGATACACATCACATCACTTATTTCCCTTTCACTACACAACCACATGTGACCTGACCGACTCCGGAGGGACCAGTCGCCTTGGATATCGGTAAGTAAACTCCGCCTAATTCCTCTGCCGGTCGACTGGCCGTAGTATAGAACGCTCCCTCATATATTTTAGTGTAATTCGAGAGTTTCCACGTGGCCACATTGAGGCCCGACCTACGTTTGCTCGGGAAGTCTTCTGCTCATGGGCCCTAGAGGATTGGATCCTTTGAGGGAGCAGCCGTAGGCCGTAACAAACTGGTAGCAGAGCGCGGTTCCGGGTTCGATTCTCGGTCGATCCCGACCATAGTGTTTGATAAACATTAAACAATTCTGGTGGCAGGGAGCGTTGGTTTGATTGGTTTAATTTGTATCTACAATCACGCCCGTTCGTAATACGTAAAAATATTTTTTTGTACGTAATAATAGAATTATTTCCCTTTGTTGTTTGTTGCTTGCCTTTTTTTTTGGTTAGTAGGTAGTTTGAAAAGCCGCGCCCTAGGTTGCGCAAGCGGGAGTTTTTCTAGAGATATACGTCATGTAGGTAGATGGTGATTTTTACGTAATCGGTTAATTATCGTTGTCGGATAGTTGTAGTGGATTACTTATCGAAGGGTCGATTTCCGAGCTAGGCATTTTTTGTTGATCGACCGTGATGTGTATCTTCGTTTATATTGTAATTTGTATTTGAACTAAAGAGTAGTAATTGTATTTGCGCAATTTGAATTTAACTTGATTTGATCGCACTAGTATTTGTTATTTGTTAATTTGATTTGTGTCTTTTCTTTTGTGCTAACTTGTATTTGGTTGATACGTAGTAATTCGTATTTGTGTAATTTCTATTCAACGCGATTTGATAGGAACTGCATTTATTAACTGTTAATTTTTGTTGTATTTTTTGTTTGTTATCTTTGTAATCTGTGCTCAAGCCGCGTCGTAATTTGCATTTAATAGTGATGACATCGCCCAAGCTACTGATCCGTTGTTTGCGGACTGAGCTACGCTGGGCCACAAGCGCCCATGCTTTGATAGGTCGACCGGATAGGGTCCATAACTTGATGAAGCGGTTCGAGCAGGTGGATGCTCGAAGGGCCGCAGTGGAGGAGGCTTACGCTGAGCTCGAGGATTCGGATGTGGAGAAGGGAGTCCTGGACTCCTGCTTCGCGGACTATGAGCAGTTCTTGTGGCTCACGGACGAGTTGATCGAGGCTGAAGGCAGGTATGCCGAGGAGGCGCGTGAAGCTCGGATGAGTGACCTGTCCGAGTCCTCTCTGAAGTAGCTTTAGCCGGAGCTGTTGGGACGACTCCCAACTCTGGACCTGCCAAAGTTCTCCGGGGTCCTTTCCGAATGGCTGACCTTCGTTGGTCTTTTCGACGCCCGGAGTGACTTGACCCCGAGCCAAAAGATGGTGTACCTCCTAGCCTCACTGGAGGGGGAGGCCCTGGGCGTCGTCGGCCACTTGAGATTGTCGGACGACGCCTACCAGACTGCTCGGGACCTCCTAGCCAGAAGATACGCCAACGTCCGGCGAATTGCGGACGAACATGCTAAGCAGCTTCTAAGCCTCCCGCTGCTGAGCGACCGGGCCAGACTACGTCCGGACCTGTTGAATCCAGTCTTGGTGGCCTGTAATACGTTGAGGTGGCTGGATTTACTATTGGGCGAATGGGCCTTTTTGTTACTCCGCATCGTGCTGTCCCGTCTATCTCTCGACCTTCGAATCCATTTTGAGGAGAGGTACGGCGGGGACGAGGCCTCCTATATTCCGCCCTTCTATGACCTGCTGCGGTTTTTGCAGGAGCAGTGCCGGCAGATAGAGAGCGCGGCGGGCACCGTTGACGACTTACGAGCCGTGCCCAGTGAGAGGCTGAATCCTCCAGGCAAGTCGTCGTCAACCCCCCCCTGCTCCTATTGTCGAGCATCTGATCATCGGGTAACGTCGTGCTCGAAATTATTAGGTAAGCCGGTTCCAGCGAGGCGAACTATCGCCAAGGAGCGCCGCTGGTGCTGCTCATGTTTGGGAGGACACCTCCAGCGAGACTGTCCACATCGGCGGCCCTGTCTGCATTGCCAGGGCAATCATCATGCCGTTTTGTGCCTGAGTGCGAACATTGTCTCCTCTCGGGACTCTGCCAGGCCCTCGAACCCCACGGGCGGGGGCGCTTAGCCACGCCCTCTGCCGGGCGACTCTCGGCGCCCGCCGGCCAGCCATCAGGCCCCTAAGTTTGAAAGGGGTCCCTCCCCCGACCAGTCGGGGGGTAATTCCCCCAGGGGCGGGGGTGTCATCACCCCCCCTAAGCGTGTGGAGAGGGACTTCACGGCCACTCATCGGTCCGCTGGACCCTTCTCACTCCCGTTAGCTGAGTGGCCGCGACTGGTGTACCACTGTTCCCCATTTGATGGAGGCGGCCCTGGCTAGCTGCCGCCTTAGCTCCCACCACGGCCACCTCCACTGAGCCTTAAGCCGTCAACAGTCCACTTGTCAAAATGTTCTGTTGCCGACGGCCTCAGTGAAGGCGTACAACCCGAGTGGCGACTGTTAGCGATCTCGGGTTCACGCCATGTGGCCTCCCCTTGGTGGTGGGAAGATTAGGGCCCCTCTGGAGCGTTGAATCACGCTGCTAAGGGGTATTAGATTTGGTTTGGTCGAGCACTTAGTAAAAAAAAAATACTTGAATTAAAATTAAAAACTGCTTTGGTCTTTCCGCGAAATTTTCCTATTTGTAGTGGTTTAAATTAAAAGAATTGAATTTAATCTACTCCTTTAAATGCTACTGCATGTGTTTTGTAAATATATTTAATCACTGTATTTGATTGTTGCGTCTGTTTGCCGAAAGGAAAATTTGAATTCATCTGAAATTGAATGGCGCACTATTTGAAAAATTATGTTTATGTTTATGATAGTGTTTAATCATTTTGCTTTGCGAAGAAGTAGGGCTGTCCCTTACGTTATTGTTTTGTTTAATTTGCAAGTTGACCTATGCGCATCGGTGATTAATTTGGTTGAATTAATTCTGTAGTTGAACATTGATGCTTTTGAAAAGTTAGTTGAAATATGAGCATAGGACTACTTGTCTAACAGGCTAGCTAGTTTTGGAGATTATCAGATTGAAATCAGCTGCCGCACTATTTTAGTAAATGATAATATGGTGGGTGGCCTGGCTAGGCCTACTTGTTGAAAATTCATACTAGGGACTATCTGTGCGTTTCGTTCGGCTCTCCACAGACGACGTTCATGTGGAATTTGTGGGTACTCTCTGCACTGAAGCTTAGGAGGCCGCTCGGGGCCGCTTCGTGTCGCGTCGCTGTTTGCAGACCTGATCCGGTCGGATTGCGGAACTAATCGTAGGGGCACAGATAGGTGTTTGAAAGAGGTCGTCGGACTTCTGTCCAGTACAGGACTTGTTAAAATGCTGCGATGCCCAGGAGGGGCATCCAGTGGAGGCTGGCCCTCCGGCTTGCCACATTAGGGCTGTCTTTTGAGGCGTTGGTTAGGGTTGCAAGATCTGATGGGTTGCCTAAGGTGGCCTAGTTTGGTTGTAGATTCGGTCTTGCAACTTGCAGTCTCGACCTAGTCCCGCTGACCGGTTTGCTCGCGGACCTAAATCCTTATGTCCGGGACGGGGGTTTGTTCGCGCTCAACGCTGTCAAGAATCGACGCCAGATGTCACTCGGCTCGGCGCGATACCGGTTTGACTTTCGGTCGTGCGAAAAACGCCCAAGGGCAGTCAGTCGTATGTCAGGTGTGCTAACAATTGGCACGCTGCCAATTAAGCGCGGGAACTCGGAATAATTAAGCGCGGACAGTAAAAATACGGTCTAGGAATTTTGTGGC